TTCCTCACACTCCCGCAGAAGGAAGTCCCAGCAGCACTTCCCACCAGCATCAGCACCACTGAAGGAAAGTTTTCCCCATGGATTCGGTCACATCCTACTGCTGGCTCCTCCTTGGAGCTGACATGAACCTTTGTGGATCTGCATCAGCAACTGGATTAGTCCACCAGGATTCTGGGAGCTCCACAAGAACCAGAAGTGCAGCTTCCCAACCCCCATCACTACATGGCTACACAAAGGCTTGGGAAGAGCTCTGTGGGGATTTGGACTGGGATGAGGAGACAAAGCGAGCAGCAGAACAAGGCAGGAGGAGTCATTTCTGGTGGCATTAATTATTTGTGAAAACACAGCTGAAACTTTAATACAAGTGTCAGAAGAACCTGTTGAAACACAGTTAAATTCTGTCCCATTGGTAGAAACTGAGCCATGGTAAATAATGAACTGAAGCTGTACATGTACTGAGGAGCTGCAGAATACAATACTTTGCCTGCTGTGGGCAGAATTTCATATTAAATGGGGAAAAAAAAAACACCTCCCTGCTTGCAGCTCACTGAAGAACTTGTTAATTTTTATTAACTTGGCCTACCTTTAAGAAAAGTAATTTGAGGACAGGTCTAGAAAAACCTTCTAATCCAGCTTTTATCAGTTAAAATACTCCACCTGGATTATAACAGTATTATGTGAAGAAAATAAAAAGAAAATTCAGGTAACCTGGGAACCTCCCATAAAAGGCAAATTCTCAGCCTCCTGTGCAAAGATCTTGTAACAAACAGAAAAATTAAAGAGACTGAAGAGAGTTTCTGACGTAGCTGCCTCAAGAGAAAGCACTTGATTTGATTCTGCCTTTCCTCTACTATCACCAAAGGGAACGAGAAAACACCGAGGCTGGTATTGATGTGGGGCCTTTATCTTATTTTCTCCACCTTGCAATTAATCCCCTCGGTCCATGCCAAAAGAAACAAGCCAAAAAAGACTGTCCATTTCTTGCCAAGTCTGAGTCCAAAACACAGGATTCCACCCCAGTGAATCCAGGCAGTAACTTCCCAAGTGGGCACTGCATCAGCAACTGGATTTGTTAATGGAGATGATCTATTGCTGGAGAGTTAAAACCTGGTTATCCTTGGCTGGCCCAACCTTCACACACCTCACAGGCCCAACTACTGCAGTGACCAAACATGGGCCTCCTCTTGCAGTCCATAAAAACAAATACCAAACCAAAAGTTTTCTCCACAGGCATCTTTCTCTCACACTGAAACGCTGCATCCCTTTTTAATTCTGGGGTTTCAATTTAGTTGTCCCATCTGGTAGAGGTATTTTAATACAACATCTCTTTTTATATCCTAACATCAAGGTGATGTTGCCAATTAAGTTTTGCTGTGGCCATCTGTAAGAGGGAGGAAAGAAGTAAACATGAGTATTTCTTTATTAATTTTAAATAACTTGGATTTCAATCAGGATTTTAGGGATGGAAAAAAGAAAATAAATAATAGATTTATATTCTACATGGACTTCTCTAGGAGAAGTAACATTTGAACTATTTTTTAAAATTCTGAAAGATTTCAGCACCTGTAGAATGTCTGGCTTTGAATCAGAATGCTTATCAAGAGAATTTTATACTGGCACGAGTTAGAATTTTATCCAAAGAAGACAGACTTTCATAATTCATTAAAAGAAATTCAAGTATTCAAAATTTCTTTACAACTTCATGTTCACCTTCAGACTCAGAGCATGTAAAGTGTTACCCCTTTGACAATAAGTGGACTGGAGGCATTTTTAAAACTGACTTGGTATTATCGAAACATGGGGAGGGTCTGGGGTTTCCCCAAAACCAAAACTCATAAGAAGCAGACCCAAAACTCTACACTCTCAGCTTCACTGCAATTGGAAGACTATGCAACACAGTTATAGGACCCTTTCTCCTTAAAGTTCAAACAATTCAATTTTTAAACAGCACAAGATTAAAGAACAGGATGGGAAAGTGAGACATCCTAAACCAAAACTTTGTTTAGCTCCCTGCACTTTTATCACTAAGGAAGACTCCGAGGCTACCAAAGGATTTTCTATTGTCAGCCTCAACAGCCAAGGAGTGAAGACAAACCCACAGGACTTGAACTGGGAGATGAGGTGGATACTCATGCTCACACTGCCTCACTCTTGGCAGGATGCAGTCCTGTAAACCACCTGTTTATCACCATCTTATGATACAGAAAATTAAATTTAATTTAACTGGTGGCAGAGGTCATGGCCACAATGAAAACAAACTCTGGCCTGTAAAAAGCAAAATTAGACTCGGCAAGTCTGGCAGGCTGTTCAATTATCCCATTAAATCCACATTTCAATCCATGAAATGTTAGTAATGGGGTTCTTTCAAACTGCATTTCGCAGGAATTTCTTCTGCAGGGATTGAATTTGCTTCTCCACAGCAGCTTTTCTTACCACAGGGCTTATAACAAGCTTCTGGTGTCGAATGATGGATGCTATTCACCCTGTTTCTAGGACTCAGTCTGGAAATAAATCTTGGGAAAACTGGAGGCCAGAGGGATCCTTTCCCCCACAACCTTATTTACTACTTATAAAAACAGTTATATGCTTAGGACATTCAGTCTTAAAGAAGTTTTAAACTTGGTGCTGCATATGAAACACGCAATCAATACATGGTGTTCCTT